AAGCTCAGGCAAAACTGCATCTCAAGTTCAGCAGAATAGAAAACGTCAGCTGGAGTCCCTTCCAGCTGTGCCTTTCTTCCAACCATAAAGACCCATGGGGAAGTGACTGTTGCCAGCACCTCTGACACGATGTGAAGGCCACATGTGGCAATGTATCCTAGAATGACCTGTAGCCATGTGCTGGGAGGATAACACAGCCAGTGTGAGAAAGTACCTCAGTAAGTCAGCGTCTGTGCAGGAGGTATGAAAGCTATCAATCTGACATGGCTGGTGCCATTGAAATGGGAAAGCATCAGTCCCAGAGATAAACCTGGAGCTGAACTAGTATTTATGCACTTTGAATCAGGCTCAATTCCTATTAGCAACTGCTCTGATATCAGGCAAAGGCTTCTGCACCTGAAAACCTGAGCAAAAGCACCTCTAAAGGGGTGGGCTATCTGTTATAATCCCATTCCACAGCTGCAGCTGATGCCCCCAACAGAGGGGATACATAATGTAAGAAATGAGTGAGCAAGGGAGCTATATGGGGAGAACAGGAAGGAGGGATGGCATCGTGGCCCCAGAATACAACCCAATGGCTCTGAAAGATATAACTATGGTCTTGATTAAAGCTGCTTTCAGGGATGATCATTGTCACAAATATAAAGCCTCTTGCTAGACTTAGCCTGGATTCAGAAATTTTGATAGACAAAATAACAGGCCTCTTTCTTCTACAAGCAAAGGAAAATGTACACATTCATCAGACAAGTTTTCTGGCTTATATTTTACCCACGAAGAGTCTTGCTTCATTGACTAAAGCTAGTTTTAATCTTAAAGCAAATTAGCAAAACATGAGTATGTGCTCGAGAAGTCAAGCACTTCCATGCTCCAAACGCAGCAGCCTTGTGGAATAGCAATGCATGCAATGGTTGTAGTCAAGCCAAAGAAATCCTTTTGACTTTGATTTGTTCTGTAACCTTAATTAAGTCACCAGCATCTTTAATTTTTCTATTCTAAACGAACTGATGTATGAGACTAGTCTCTCTCATGGCATTCTTATGTAATGTAGTTAGCAATGCCCATTGCAAAAGTAGCCCTTGCTCAAAGCTTCTATGCAGGGGTTTGGGAGATGTTATTAGTTTGCTTTTTATCCAAAATGCCTCGGATGTCTGTGCAATGTTACTAAAAAATGGGTTTTTTGTAAATCACCTTGCTGAGGATTGTTACTAAAAGGATTTTTGTTTAATGGACAAACAAGACATGAAATGAAACACTTCTATGTCAAGCTACCTTGAGATGCTGAATAAAAGAAAACTATAGTACATGCAGCTGAAGTGAAGTTCAAGGATCAGTCAGCTATCTGTCTAATCTACTAACTATTTTTAAGACCTTCACAGATGGAGTTTTCACTGAATGAATCAATATGTATATATATAATGTATATGTATATAGTATAACTTCAGATGATCAACCAGAATTCTGTGCTGTGCTTTTGGTTACTGATTTTTGGTCAGTCTGCAGTGGATCTGAAGAAGAGACTATTCTTCTTTTTACACAGTCTTTTTGTGTCTTCAAGTTCATATTTTCCTGCAGTCTGCTTTTTGCTAGATTAAGCAGCTTAATTCAGTCAGTTAATTCAGTCTCCTGGATATATCCTCTAGACTGCTGTCAACTTATCGCTCTGTGTCTCTTGAAGCACTGAGCCCAGGAGTGGGTGTAGTAGAGAGGCTGAATACAGTGGAAGGATTAGAGCAGAGGCACACGAGACAGCTGTCAATCTATCTCATGAGGGTAGTTGTCACTCCCATGGTAGGGTGACATTATTAAATCAGGTTCCACTTGTGGGGCATCATGCGTGCTGCATGCAGGGGGCATGTTTGGAAGGCTCGTCTAACTCTGTATGATTACACCCACTGCTCTGTAGAATCCTGCACTTGTCCTTTGTTGAACAGTACCTTGGGGGGTTTTTCAGTGCATGTTTCCAATTCGTCAAGATAATTTTGAATTCTAATTGTAGCCTCTGTGAAGGCCTTTATCACAGTAGATATCCCTTTCATAGCTACAGAAGTTTTCATTCTGCAAGCTAACACAGACTGAGAGAGGCTGCAGTGATTTAAGTGGCCTGTTATTATAACTCCTTAATCCCCAGGAATGAGCTCTTTTGCTTTTCTCTCTAAATGGCAATGACCACAAATAGATTAATAAAAACTTTGGCTTTGTTCTTTTATCTATGGCCTTTAAAACTTACCTCTCCTATATTCATCTTTTGCATCTTTTCAGTTACCTTTGTAATCTGATTTGATTGTATATTCCCATAGAGGCTTAGCACTAAAATTGCTTAACTGTACAGCGCTGCTTTTTAACTTGGCAGGAGGGGATTTAAACTGGCTGTATACGCTGTGCCCCCATGTTAGGGAAACACCCTTCTAGCACAGTCTCTGTTGCTCCAAAGTTATTTCTTCTGTGGGAACTGTAAGAAGTTTTGAGCATCAGATCCTTGTTCTGTTTGTACCCATATCAGTATAATACAGGAATACAGAGTTTCTTCAAGAAAATACTCTCCTGATTTTACACCAGAGACGATGAGAACAAGTTCTGCTCCTCAGTTGTCTTCATATGTTAAAGATTTTTTATGAAATAGAAAAAAACCCTGAACCCTGAGGAAAGGCCACTGATTTCAAGGACAAAAGTGATGTGAAATCACGTTTTTTAATTGCCTTCTAAAAAGACATTTCCTTCCAACTCCTGTACAAAGCAAAGCATCCCCATAAAAATAGCTCCACATGTCTCAGCCACATATTTGATAGGGAAATTGTTTCCAAGAAATTCAATAGATTTTCAGACATTCAAAAAAGGTGGAGGTTTGGGGTTTTTTTTTTGTCTAAAGGTTAAGTATCCAGCCCACACAAGTTGTCTTATCTAGGTCGTTCTATAATCAGTGGAGACAGGACATCCTAAGGCAGGTGAGACGAATGGTGACTCATCTCTGAGACACTGTTATTATCTAGACTACGGGATGGCAACTTAGAGCAGTTCTCTTTCTTTAGAGCTTTGCAGTTAGGTGACATGACCCAAACAGCAGATTATGCCGGCAAAAGTTGTCATGCTGGGAAAAGTGAAACAATCTAAACACAGCCTTCATTGCATGCTTAAACTAATCTCTGGGTTTAGGCACAGAATGCAGCCTTGAATTGCTCATACACCAGGTTTTGTCTTCCCTGCATGCCCACATAACCCACAGGGTAGTGTGGCTACCTGGAACAAAGCTGAGGCTGGTTCCCATAGGTGGCTCCCCATCAGAGAAGGGACCATGACTGCTGGCCAGGATGCTGCTAAGAGCTGAGAAGGCACTAAAGCCCATAGTAGAGCAAGAATTCCTTGCTCCTCCTCCTTTCGCTCCATTTCACCTTCCCTTCCTGCACTCGCAGCTGAGCCATTTTCTCTTTTCTCACACATGAGAAAGTTATGGGTTAGTGGCTGCCAAATACTTTTAATGAGTGCTCTCCCCTCTTTCTGCTCCATCATCAGCCCAGTCAGGTAGGCATGGGTCTCACCAACAGCCTCATAATGATGCCCTGGGGTCACTTCTGTAAGGCCAGCAGTGGAGATCCCTCTTTAACTGCAGCCCTTGCCCATCTTCTCCATTTTTCACTAGCTCCCACATTATGGGTTTGGTGTCAGGAACTGGAAGATCCCAAACAACTGCATTGACATAATCCAAAACTCTTCCCAGTTTCTAGGATGTGAGTCCAGGCAACCAATACATCTGAAGCATTGGAAAGCCACAAGAAGGTAGAACAGGGCCTGAAGGCTCCGCTATATTTCACTCACGCAGGGGTCTGATCAGGAGCAGCTGGTTCTGGGATAAGGGTCCCTTATGGAAATTTTTAACTTTAGTAACTATCAGTTCTGCTGAGACAGATAAGTATTTTTTCTCTCTTCAGTGCTAGTAATAATGAATATATTATTGCTGCTGGATACATAAAGATTTTTATTTCCTCCTGAGTTTTTCTGCTTTACATCCTTCAAACCCCTTACTGTGAAAAATACACTCTTCTCTACTTGTCTTCACAGAAGAGCAGTAGAAACACGTTCCATGCTGCTACATACAGCTTTACAAGGGACAGGGTTTTATAAGTGAGAATTTTACAGAAATGAAGAATATTTTCTCCAAGCTGACCCTAGGTTCACCAGGCTCAGAGCTGGCCGGTTGCTATGGAGAAAACATAAACTTCACACTAGCATGGAGGAGGAAACCTGCAGAGTGGGCACTGGAAAGTGATTATCCTGCATGTAGCAAGGGTTTTGTTAGGCCAAAAGTAGGGAGAAGATTTGGCATGTGGTCACAACACAAGTAAATGCAGATACATACACCCTTGTTCTTGCAGCCTAAGGATCCTGATGCTTTGAGAGCACAAATAGCTTTCCTAATTCCTTTCTTTTCATTGTAGGCAGTACCACTAGGGGACGTTTTGTCATCACGTATTGCTCTCTATACAATTTTCCTTACAGTGGGTCATGCTTGCTTTTCAATCTTGGTGCATATCTAGATCATGGAGTGAATGTTTGAATTTCATAGGGCTCGTGAATGACCCGGACTCACTGGAGCTGGGAAGGAAAGAAGTATTTATTTCCCTCATTTCTCCAAGGGAGCCCATCTATCAATATTCCTTACAGAGTGAGGAAGCTGGTTATTTCACAGCTTGCTGGAGCACCATGAGAAAACAAGGCTGCGTCTCACTTTAGTGTTATGTGCCAAGCACAGATACTGCTAGTGAGTTTGTGGAGATAGAAGTAATATATAGCCACTGCAATCAAAGTGGAATGAATATCACCAGCAGTGAAGCATGTTAAGAATTTGCTGAAAGAAAAAGGATATCTTTTAAACTAAATGCAATCTATTGGCAAAATTCGCATTTCACTCCTCTTTTCCATTCTCATCTCATTTGTCCTAGGATAACTTAGTGGCTCAACCCAAGTCACCTACCAATACACTTTTCTTTCCCTTCTCTTCAATGCAGACGGAGCAGCTGGTGACTCTTTGGATTCTCTTTATTGTCACTATTGCTGGGAATGCCATTGTGCTCTTCTCTACCTGGAGGAGGAAGCGGAAATCTCGAATGACCTTCTTTGTTACACAGTTGGCAATCACAGGTAGTGTATGGAATGGGTTACTATTAAAATGACAAATAAGAAAATGCAAGTTGAGTGGTGAAGAATTCAGTTGTCACCTAATGTCCAGCTGCAGTTTGCCATAAGACAGATGGATGGCTGCTTACCTCAGGGCTCAGTCTGCCTCCCATCTGAAAAGATGTTGCTAGCTGTAGTAGGGTCTGAATCAGATGCAGCAGCTACAGCTCATTGATTTCACTGAATCTTATCTTCCAGTCTGAACATTCATCCACATTTCCCCAGTTGTTGTCATGGAACTGTTTAAATTAAACTATTTTAAAGTTAATCTTTTGTGTTTTTCTACTAAACCCCTTCTAAAGTACTTCATAAGGGTATTTATTGCTCCATCAATTACGCTCTTGCATTGGCAAGTGAAAATTACTTCATCTTGTCTGGTTTAACCAAGTTAGGGAAATATAACAAAGCATAAAGGTGGAAAGCAATGCATTTAGCTTTTTTTTCTGAAAGGGGAAAGGATGCTGGTCCAAGAACTTTGCAGTTTTTAAATGAAATGTAAAACTGTACAGAAACCTGGCTTGTAGAACATCGGTCTCAGCAACTAGGAAAGGAAAAAAGAGCATAAGCAGCACATTGTTTCTCTGTGGCCTTGAATGGGCTAAATCTGTGGGGATTTAAGTTTCCCAAGGGAAAATATGTGCTGTTTCTGTAATGGCGTCCTGCTACTAATCCCGGTTTACGAGAGAGCTGAGTTGTGATTTTTGTGTATGTAAGATATATTCGTATGCTTTCTGTTGATTTTTTTTTTTATTGTTTTTTTTTTTTGGTGAGCTATGGTAGGAATTACAGCACTTTTCCACTATTTCATATGTGATTTCCCATACTCCTTTGACGTCTGTTTTGTATCTATCTGTTTAAACTGGAAAACAAAGGACTGCACACCCCAATTGTAAATATGCATTCTTTGCATGTAAATGAACTCCTGTTCATGGTCTCAGCCATGTCTGCTCAGGAGCTTGTCCTGTTTGAAACACTGCTCTCAGTTGAAACAGTTAGAATAAGTTGTGCAAAGTGATGGAAAGGAACTGTCTCATAACTACAGGTGATGTAAGAATTGTCGCAAGGTGAGGAGGTGAAAGTTTGCAGTGGCTCTTCTGAAGTGTTGGCGGCTGGTTTTCCTGTTTGTCTGTGAGTCACTTGTAATTCACTTTTTATCTTGATTGTGACTATCATGTCACTCCTTTCGTGTACTAGCAATATTATCCATCATGTAAGGCATGTTGATACAGCCTCACAGCACAGTTTGGAAGCACCAATCACAGATCAAGCATTACAGTGTTCACAGGACTCTGAAAATAGACAGTCCCTGCTCAAAGAGCTCCCAGTCCCAGATTGGGATACAGAGGATGATAAAAGGTAGGCAACAAAGCAGTAGTACAGGCAAAGAGAAGAAGAACAACTGAAGCCACAGATGGACACTGTCCACCTTCTGCCTATCATCATCAGCAAGCAGAATACTGGGGGCAACTGTCATAAGAAGGGCTTTGGAAGAGAGAATGGCGGAAAATGATCCCATGTGTCCGTCTGGCACAGAGGGCACAAGGGCTGGGCTTGCTGCCAGAGCAGGGACACAAGTAATACATACACCATCATGGTAATAGAAGATGGGTCCTAATAGGAAGAGCTCAACTAAAGAGCAAAGGGTCTTTTCCTAGTAAGAAAACAAATGTATTTGCTGTAGCAGAGAAAGAACCAGAATAAGGACATGGATGCTCAGAACAAGGAAATAAAACAAGAGCAGACAGAAGTGTCCGTAACAGGATAGCTTAGGAGAAGGCTGGTCCACATGAGGTGTGCTGGAGCGAGGCTACTCCCACTGCTGTGCTGGGTAAACCCTGGGTGGGAGTTTTGATATTTTGGACCCATAGGAAAGGCTGCTTTTTGGATAAGAATGGAGGTGGATAGAGAGCTATTCACTAGGGTTTCAAACACCATCTACATGAAGGGAGGGGAAGGCATTGCAAGTGTGGTTTTGAGGGAGCTGGAATAATCAGTGGCAAAGACAACAAGGCAAATACCCCAGTGGACAACAACTAATGTATGCAGCTGACATTACAATATTGAACAAGCTCCATGTTCCACTCACTGATTCTTCTGACCTTCCTGTTCCTAAAATTATTTCTGACTTTTAAAATCAGAGCTTCAAAGTGCCTGAGATCAACAGTCTTTTCCATTTCATGTTATGGAAATACACGTAAAAAATTCACTTGACATTCACATCTGCAGTGTTAAAAGAGGTAACACCAGCTGGAACAGTAAAGCTTCTCTCAAGCAATGTTGACCTCTTTTGTGATGCAGGAGTCAGAACTTTAATTTATCTTCCTGCACCAAGAGCTCCTGTCAGTATTTTGGCACAAAGAAATTACTTCATTCCTGAAATGGAGTCATTTCACTTTCTTATCTTCAAAAAATATTAATAAGAACAAAGCAATCTGGCAACAGTCATCATCTTTTCACAACAAGTTATGAGGTAGATGTAGAATATTATGAAAACACTGGCTTGTCACATTGCTTTGACATGCCAGGCATATTTAAATCCTACCAACTAAAGCCTAATCTCCTGGCAAACAGTTTCTGCTTAGTCAATATTACTACTTCTATCTATTCTGAGATTCTTAAAGTATTTATTATTTCTGCCCCAGTAGCATAGAGAAGAATAATGGATATAGCTTTATCAATGCAGGCTTTTCAAAGCCATTAAAAAAGTTTCTGTCTATTGATCTGCAGCTTGATATCTGAGTAGTGTCCCAAATTCTCATGCTTCCCACTAATGTAGTACCAAAATGAAATGAAAATACAGCCTTCATGTTAGAATAAACAAGGTATTCAAAGCAAATTGTGCATAATACATGAATAGGAAATGAGCACTGTTGTTCTCCTTGACTGGTTGCCAAGCCAGATGCAGTAGAGATGTAGCTAACTGATTGAGGCTCCTTTCAACACTACCAGAATGGAGTGGTTCAACCCACTCGGCAAATGCAGAGATAAGAATCATACTGATCCCTCCCTACACCATAATTCAGCTTGATGCTCGAGGCTGCAGGGATCTGTAGGAATGTGAGTAACCCCTTCAACTTCAATATGCTTAAAGATGTTGCTGAAGCCTGGATTCAGAATATTTCATGTTAAATATATGCCTATACAATGCCTGTGTCAGTACCACATTTATGTCTAACTCTCAGTTCATGCATAAATCTCTGAAATTATCTGAGTATTAAGCACTAGGAAATCAGCTAAGAGTTAACAGCTGAGTTGAACAATATTACTAATCACTCAGCATCAGCTAATTTAACAAAGAGGAATATTGCCATATTTGCCTTGTGTTCAGTTTGCTTTTGGGAATTTTCCTTTATTGTAAAAATGTTTTTCTTAAAAACAAGCTTATCTGTGAAGACTGAAACTAAAATTCAGTTTCCTACAGATTTCAATCTCCAAGGCAATTTAGTTTCTCAGAAACTGGAAGCTCTGAAGATTACCCTGTGAGGAGGGTATTTCTAAACATCTTTTCCCAAATATATTTTTTTTGAGTTTAGCGCAAGTTATGCTCATGGCAATCTCTCCTGGCAGGAAACCTCTCACATCTTCCCCTACCTGATGTCATTTCACGTAACTTGAGAGTCTTAGTGTCTTTAATATCCTTGCCTTTTGGAGATCAAAGAGTGGGGTCTGGCAGATGGGTGAGTTCTCAGGTGCAGTATTACACTGGAAAGCTTCAAGCAGAATACAGTTGTTTTCAGAAAAGATGGTTTTCCCACATATTTATATCCATTTAGATCACTTCACCCAGATGATCTACCAAATAAATGCCTTCTTAACTCTACTTTTCAAGAGTAAAAGCAGCAGACACGAGCTATACTCAAATACTATTTGAGTAGCATTGGACAAGGAATGTAATTCATTGGTTAAACAGTCCATTCAAACTTATTATTTGACCAATTCAAAAACCAATCAAGAAATATATTAAAAATCTCTGCTAAAAAGTATTTTACTTCTCATTATTCTTCATCAAACTTCAACTGCTGCTGACAGAGGAATGTATTTAAGTTCCTTTTAATGACCAAACATGCATAGCTTATTGAGGTTTTTTTCATAAACAGTAATATCTGGGAAGTTGGAGGTGGAAATATCATGACCGTTAGCTCCGTGACTTTGCCCTATTTCAACACAGAAATCAGTACCTTAAGAATACTGTTAGATTGTGTCCATTGTTAGGGGTAGAAATACCTGTAGGCACTTTACTGCACGCTGAATTTAAGCCATAGGCTGACAGACTTAGTTGGAAATGTATGTTCACTTAGGTATTGCTGTGGCTGTAATGAAGAGAGAACAAAAAAAGATGGTAGCTTACATATAAATAGTAAAAAACAAAAGATGACTTATAAAAGTATTTAGCTACAGTCTATATGGTGATATAAATACCAAACCTTAAGGGATGATTTGAGAATGACATTAAAAAGACAAGGAGGTATTTTTAAAAGTGCCTTTTTATATCACTACCGTATTCTTCACTTGCTACAGACAGCTGGATGATAGGCAGCTTTGGGTTTTAAACAATTTTACACTCATTTTGCTTAGTGTTTAGTAAAAAGTCAATATGCTTGCCACAAGAGGGTTATGTGAGCAAATAGGTGGAATTGGGTCCCGCTAAAGCAAAGAATGATTATTTTCTGTGCTGCTTCTGTCCAGAGAGAGCACGGTTGCAGGGCTAAAACCAGCTGTGCTCAGCCATTGACTTCTGGGGTGACTTTGGTTAATATGACTGAAGGCAGAGTCTACCAACTAATCTACTAATTAAATGGTACTAAATAAGTGCATCAAACTCTACTACTACAACAGCTAAACACAAGCAAACATATTAGAAGTTGTCCTTCCTTTCTTCTTCTTCTCCTCTTGTTTTTTTCCTTACACCAAAACCATTATGGCACTGACTGCCTTAATGTACTGTGCCTGTCTTTCAGTGTTTT